TGACCTCTTTTGTTATATATATATTTGATTTTGAAATCAAGGTACATATATGTTGTAGATGTTTTTTTTTTAATTCCTAACCATAATATTTGATTTTTTTATTTAGATTTTAATTTTTTTCTATTATTCTTAATGTTACTTTATATAATATATTGTTTTTGTTATTCTCATTGTTTATAATAATTTTAGTTAAATATTTATACTAGTAAAAAAATTTTATTTTTTTATGTAAAAAAAATTCATAAGAAACAAGATAATGTTGTTGTTTTCATTTCATTCGGTATTCTTTTTGTTTTCAATATTTGCACTTAAGTTTTAGAATATATTTATTTAAAAAAATGCTTGTATTTGGGAAGGAAATAAAGTGGGGGAAGAGCTTAATGAAATTGTATGTTAAAATGGGTCAATAAATATCATCAATGATCGTTTATAAAATACAATTATTTTTCACTTAGGGCAAAATCATGAAGGCAAACGATTACAATCAGAAATATTTTGTAAAAGGGGATCAAGATTTTTTTGTAATATTAAAAGCTGTAAAACGAGACTAAAATTAATATATAAAAGAATGTGTGTATAAAAGTACAGTCGAAATCGTTTATGACGACATATCGGTTACAACGACTTACCCAAATGTCCCGAGTCGCCCTTTATTTGTATCGTTTATAACAACATCCCGCTTATAGCGACCAATTTCGTCGCTAATTAAATAAATTATCCATTATGGAAGTCTTCTATAGATTTTCGCATAGAAATGTTCCAGAAGAGTCTTCGTATATAATTAATTAATTATGGTTGCATTCAGAAAAAAAATGAACAAAATATAATATGAAATATATGATCGAAATACATGGAATATTATTTTTGGTTCATTCCTGGATTTATTGTAAAATAAATTCCGGGGCCTTTGAAACTTTTCAGGGAATTTAGTTGTAAAATAATTTGCGACAAAAGTTTTACTAATTTTCTTCATCAAAAATGTTGTCTATGGAAAATTATGGAAGACTTCTACAAAATTTTGAACGACTTCTACAGTTCTTCAAAGGACCTTCTTACAGAAGTCCTCAGAAGAAAAATTATGCAACATTTCTACAGGTGTTCTTGTCTTCAAAAGATATTCTTACAGAAGTCCTCAGAAGGAACATTTGTTATTGGAAGTGTTTAAACAGTTCTCTTTTGGATAACTAAAAAAATCGGAAATAATAGGACAACATTTCCTGTAATAATAATATAGAACCAATGTTTAACATTTTATTCACAATTTATTGTAAAATAAATCCGGGGCCATTGCAACCGGTCATTAATTGTTAACAACTAATTTTGTTCATAAACATTTATTCGAGTTTATTTTTTGGGGAATTTGACTTTATAAAGAACTCTAAGCGATTTTTTACTCCTAGCCTGATAAGGTAGAAAGGCCTTCATATAGAGGACCCCTTGAATTCTTCTATAGGATTGTCTAGATTTTAACCACATATCGGCCATTTGCTGCAAGACCGGCATAAAGAAAAAATCGTGATTTTTTAGTTAATTATACAGAATTGTTCGCCATTTTAGACTGAGAAGCTGTAGTAATTTCTGCTCCTTGTAAGGTGAGTGAATTGAAAACTTAAAACGCCTTTTCTGCAAAATCAATTTTTATTTTTTTAATAAATTAAAATATATATATATATATATATTATTTTAATAATTAATAATATATATTTTTTTAATTTAAGCCGTGAACTTATTCTACCTTTCTCAGAGTAAAATATTTTTTAAAGGGATCTGAAAACTACATTAATTTTTTGCTCAGGTGTATGAATTTTTAAAATATATTCTCTAATTGAGGAAAAATATAATTTATTAATATTTTATAGAAAGATAATCTCTTTGTTGTCTGTTTATATTTTACTCTTAATTATAGCTTAAAAGTAATATAAACAAAATATCGTGTTGGTTAGGGGTAAGGTTTAGAGATATAGAAAAGTGTGAGATATCAGTCTATTACTCGATTTTTTTATGTAAGAGTTATAGTGATGTCAGAAAATATTCGATATGAATCAACAAATATCATAAAAAAGAGGTAAATGCAATCTTGAAGGGGAATACAAATTTCTTAAGAAACTTTTTCCATTTTCGATTCGTGTTAATCACATTTTTATAAAAAAAAAAATAAAATTCAAATTATTTGTATTTTTCACGTCTTCTGTGAAGAATCGTGTCTTAAAAAAATAATTTAAATCCAGTGAACATTTCATACATAAATTCTAGCAAGAAAATAACCGAACTAATACAAAATTTGGGATTAGCTACTTACAACCAGTGAATATACATGCCTATTGCTAGGACCTAAATCAGCATATTATAAATTCGAAAGCAATTCATGTCAACAACTGGGCGTTATTTGATATATCCCATTTTATTAGTCTCTGTTGGGTATTAGTTGGGTTTGGTAGGGTTTACGCGTAATAAATGAACTACAGAAACTCCAAAGTCATCTGATGTCGTCGATCAAACTCTATTATCACACTTGGCAAAAAATAGATAATCTTACATCAAAACGTGATAATAGGACGTTGACTCTTGGTGATCGAGTGACAGTTCCAGATATGAGAGTTATATAATTTTCTATGAATTGCAATCCAACTTTATCTACAGATATGTCAAGCTATTGCCTACTCAAATTTAAGAGAGATATTTTCATTTGAATATTATTTCTAAAAATTCATAGTTCTTCTTAAAAAAATTAAAGCTTAAACCTTTAAACTAGAAAAAAATTATAATAACATTTTGTAAATGTTGTATTGCACACCACCACTAAGGTTGAAGCCGTAAATGGAAGTCTTTAGATATTCGATATTATCCGATAATTCTATGATCCTATTATTACAAATTAAATTTTAATAAAACGTAGATAGTAAAACAAATAATTTGTTTTCATCATAGGGATAGGGAAAAAATTCAATACTTGTAAATATATGCATGCCGTAAAAACACAATAATTAGTTCTGATGTGCTCAATAGTACACGATTGATTTAATAAATGTTTTAACATTCCTTAAAAATTAAAAAAAAATTCAAATCAGATATATTTCTTGTTGTTGGTAAAAATGTTCATAACTTCATTATTTCACACATAAAAAATTAACATTTTTTAAGGAATTTTGATTCGTAAAAAGAGTTCAAAATATAACTACATCAATTTTAAAAATATTTTATAATAATACTTAGTTATAGTCAACAAAATTTAGATTTCTAACGAAGAAGACTTCAGTCTTGAACAATGTAAAAAACATTGCTTAAAACGTTTATTTTTAATAAAATGTTGATCTTAATAACCAGATAAAATAGATTCATCATTAAGTGAAGATCAAATTACAAAAACATCTATCTAGATACAAAATATTTTCAATATTACACGAAACCATCCTAAAGAACATTTTAAAATACTATTTACCTTTAATAAAAACATTTTTAGGTTTTCAATTCTTTCAAAAGTTTTAAAAATATACAATTTAAATATAAATAAAAAATAATTTATATAAAATGTATTTTTCATTATGTAGAGATCAAATATAAGCAAGCAATTTAAAATACAATTATTAGTTCCGAATTGCACCATATTAAATTGAACTATTCAATTAAAAAATTATTTTTCTTACATTTTCAAAAGAAAATTACAACTAAACTAGGGCTTCGAAGTATAGTCTTTATTATTCTTATTGGAATAACAATTTGAATACAGTCCGACTTTCTCAAAAAAGTAGATTTTTTATTACCGGAAAGCGGCAAAATACTCAACATCGAAATACTTGGACAAAATCTGTATTCGAACAGCTGTACAGCACTACAATTGTATATAAAAAATAAATTATATATCCTTTGAATTGAACTTTTCTTTTGTATATAATCGAAATGAAAGGGTTCGGTTTTATAATGCAAGCTCGCAGAGACATGGCAAAAACCTCACTTTCTAGTTATGGCATATTGTCCAAACATTGTTTTCCTGAGGTGAATATTTAGGCCATAAAATAAAAAAATTGTCACTTTAGAATTTGGTTGATTTGACCCTTGGAATATTGACCGATCATCATCTAAACTGCCGTTCTAAGTATTTGGTCAGATCGCCTTAACGGTGTAAAATATGTGACGTTCTGCATATAATAATGGTCTCTGGAGCGACTAGAAAATCTGACAAAAATAAAGTTTTCACTTCATTACACCCCCTAAATATAATCTCAACATTACAGAATTTTTCACATAAAAGTCTTGGTCCTTTTGACCCGCTAAATAATGACTGATCTTCTTCAAAACAGTCATGCTTATTCTTTGGCCAACATGGGTCTTCTATGGCCAGAACCCATGCTACATAAAAAAAGTTCGCGACGATTGGTCCATAAGTCTTGTCTGTCAGGTTTTTACAAATTCTAATGGACAGACACGGAGCTAGTCGAGATATGACGATCGGTCACATATATATATATATATAGCGAGGTCTTGTATAATATTGATGTTTAGTATTCGAAAGAATCAGTTTGGCAATATGAACATCCAAAGGATAGTCTGAAATAATTCACCTACACGATTGCTTTAATATTGGGAAGTATATGTATGCCAACAAGAGGATTGTTTCAAATGATTCTCCTAAGGACTTAAGAGAGACATGAAAATATTACATGATCATTGATGATAAGTAAAATAGGGTTTATATTGTGACTTTAACCGGGCTTGAACAGAGCTCAGCTCCCTTTGTCTTTCATCTGCAAAAATAAATATGTTATTATTACACGATCATTGATGATAAATTTAAAAATATAAAAGGGCAAGATAAGGATAGGCAAGGCAAGGAGGATAAGAATTAAACAAGGACTACAAAATAATTTTGTGGGGAAAACTAAAAATCAAAATTTTGAAAATGTCATTAATTAATTATCAAATAATAAATCTCTTCGTCGACCACGTCGTCGTCTACCACCATGAATATACCTACTATGTATAGTAGGTAAATACCCCAAATTCTAGTAACTTATTTTTTTGCGCAGCTTAAGTGACAAACGTTGCTGCTGCTGGTGTTGTTGTTGCTGTTGGTCACGTTCATTGCTGCCGCTGGTGTTGGTAGCCAGCACCGACGAGCTATATTTGCCACGTGGCATATACATACCTTGACTAGTGGGTGTGGGTATACCCGATGTAGATGCCGAAGATGTAGAGGAAGCCGTTGTCGATTCTACCAAATGGCCGGAGGTAGTGTGGCGAAGATAACGGGAACGAAAACTGCCACCACCGGTTAGAGTTGAAGTACTACTGGACGTTGATGATGAGCCTGTTGTTGTTGTTATGCTGGCAACAGAAGAGGTAGCAGCTGCTGAGTTGCTGTTGTTGTTGTTGGACGTTGTTTGATTGTTGTTGCTGGTTTTCCTTAATAATTTGTTGTTGTACTCATCACATTTATCCTTTTCGATGCGAGTACTACTCAAGGAACGTTTGTTGCGTTTTATGTTACTGCCGCCGCCGCCACTGGTCACACCACCACCATAAGGACTGCTGCTGCTGCATGAGGGTATGTGCGAAGAAGTTGATGTTGTGCCGGTACCCAATGAAGACCTTTGTGAATTTCGACTAAGACGATTTGTATCTAAATTGGTGAGATGGTGAGTTGGTGAGGAACAACAAGAGGTTGATGATGAGGTTAAATAGGTTATTGATTGTGGTAGGGGGATTGGTGGTGTAGGTGTTGTATTGGAAATGGTCAAGGAAATGTCATTAATGGGCGATGGGGAGGAGGAGGAAGAAATGGTTGGACCGCCGGGAGGAACATCAATGTGAATGATGGTAGAAAAATTAGATGTAGAGAAATTTGTGTTTAGTTGTGTGTTTAGAATAAAATTATTATCAAGGGGGATATTACTGTTGTTGTTGTTGCTATTGTTGTTATTACTGTTCGAATGGCTTGTGAGATTTGAATTGGTATTGTTGTTGTTGTTGGTATTGGTATTATTATTATTGGTTGTGGACTTAAGGGTTTCTGCATCTGAGGAGGAATTTGAATGATTGGCCGAAACTGAGGTAGCTGTACATGAGGAAGAAGTGGAAGTGGATGATGATATTTGCGGCGATTTTCTGTTGTTATTGGGTATCTGACCAAGGCGTTCTTCTAATTTACTACAACTACTACTAATATTACTAGTGGACTGGGTGTTATTGTTGTTATTATTGTTGTTGTTGCTGCTGTTAATGTTCATATTGCTGCCGCTACTGCTGCCGATGCCCTCTTCCAGCGTGTTAACGGGATTGGAATTGAAATCCAAATTA